ATGGGTGCAGCACACCAACATGGCACATGTATACATATGTAACAAACCTGCACGTTGTGCACATGTACCCTAGAACTTAAAGTATAATAAAAAAAAAAAAAAAAAAAAGATAAATGGGCCAAATGAGCCAAATCAGCCAAATGGCGAGGAAGACCAAACAGACAGGGACCCACTAATTAGCGTACAAGATTTTCTCTTCCTAAAGAGCAAGGGATTCTTTGAAGGAGATTTGTACACGTGGAAAAATTGGGTCCTTCTCAATCGAGGGGAGTGGGAAGATTGCATCGGCTACGGAGAAGTAGACAAAGAAAAGGAATACCAAATAGAGACGATGCGAAAAATGGTGGAGCCCAAAATGAAGAGAATGCCCATAGAATACTGGGGGAGCTTCAGAGCAATCGATTTCAATGTGAATCATTACCCGATTTATAAGAAGCTGTTTGACTACTTTGACAAGATCAATGTGAGTGGTAGCGAGCCGAACGAGAAGTTTTACCCCTTCCTCTTCTACCCCCGGTTTGCCGTGCGCAGGGATAGGTCGGGGCTGGGCTACGGGGATGCGCAGTTTTTCGGCAACTACGGGGACATTTACAAGAAGCGCGAGGAACGCCTGCGCAGGTTAAGCGGCGTGGACAGCAGTCGTGATCGCGTTGATCGCAGCGGTGATGGCGAAGGGATCACTGCAGACACATCCGGGGAGAGGGAAAGCGTGGTGCACTCCAGCCTGCACCGGGAGAGTTTCATAGACAAGTATGACTTCGGGCCGAACGACATCAAAGTAGAGGAAGCAACGGACATAATCAAATACCCACAGAACGGCAGGCTCTACCAGAAGTTCTACATAGGACCCCTAAACATAACCGATGGGCATACCTTCGGTACTCTGTTGAAATACGTTTGTCAGACTCAGATATATGGATACGCCATAGTCGCGATTAAAATTCACAATATGAATGAAGATACCCGAATTGACAACGTACAGGAGGACCTCCTAGAAATTGCCCTCAATTTATCGGACGTCTGCATATACAGCAAAGAAATAAATATAGAGACAAACGTACGACTCATTTTTAAAGGCCCCTTGATGTTAGTAGCAGGGATGATACCCCTGCCATCGCACCTACAAGTAGTCAACAAGGAGCAATACATATGCACACTGAAGGAGGATGGTCATTTGGACATTTCGATAAAAATTGAATATGGGAAAGGTCACTGGTTGACATACGAGAAGGGATTATATAAAAGGGAACTCGGTTCTGACAACGAATGTATGAAGAAAAGACAAGTGAAGGAAGTTATCGAGAAAAATTATATGCCTATAAGTGCTAGCTTTGGTAGCTGCCGTATGGTACGTATGGCTGTACATAAGATCGCCACTAAATATTGGTGTGAAGATAGGTGTGAGTTTACCGACCCGAAACAAATGCTCGTAATGGAAATATGGACCGACTGTAGGATGCTGCCGAAGAATGTGTTGCTGTATGGAATTAAAAATATAAAAAAGATTTTGAGAAAGTTCAGGGAGATGATAATTTCGGACACAGATTTCCCTTCCGATGTGGAGGACGAGGAGATGAAGAACCTCTGGCCCGCCATTGACCGGTACAAATTTCTGCAGACCAAGCAGAAGATGGAGGGAGGCCCGCCCATCCACGACGTGGACGCGGAGAGTGACACGGGCGGAAGCAGCGTAGCGGGGGACGGGGGTGTCCAGAGCGACCAGCAGAGCCAAATTGGTAGCCAAGTGGGTAGCCAAAACCTGCTGGACTCATTTTCGCAAAAGCTGGTAGACCCGGACAACTTCCCCAAGCACTCAAATATCGTCCTTCCGCTGGAGGACACGCCGCCGCCCTACCTGGACACCCTGGAGTGGCTAAAAATGGAGGTAAAGAAAGACCGAATTCGCAAGAAGAGGAAGGGTTCCCAGAAAAAAGCTTCCAAAGCGCCTAACAGGCGCACCTTCGATTATGACGACTACCTGGATGACAGATTGGGCGACATACTGGATGAGGGTTGACCGTATGGAATAGAGGACTCTCGTGACGAACAACATTGTGCTCTTTTCCTCGTTGAGCGGCTCTACCTTTTTTTGTGACAACACAGGCGAAGTGGAAATAGCGCTATATGCACCATTAGTGCATTTCCCTTTTGTGCTATCATTTCTCCCTTTCGTGGTGCCCAAATGGCACATTAGTTTCCATCCCCCAGAGATGTTCAAAAAAGGGGAATCCCTTCTTGTCTACGCGTTGGACAGCTTGTCAGTTGTCCGCTTCCACGATTAGCACTTTTCCCATTTTAATTCGAGATGATTAAATTTGAATTTTTTTTTTTTTAAAACAACCCGTTCTGTACCCCCCCAATTAATGTTTCCTACACTCCATGCGGATGAAAAAGCGTCAAACGAAAAAAAAAAAAAGCAGGTGAATACATCACACAGGATGACAATGCGGTAGAGCAGCGAAGGGTGCCTCCTCCGTTTGGCAAATTGGTCAGTCCAGATGCGCACATACATACGTATACACAGAGACACACGCGTAGCCGCACGTGGAGAGGCTATTCCGTGCGAGATAGGATCTCCCCAATCGGGGGAGCCAACCCGCTAGGTCCCCTGTTCCCCGTCCTGCAGCAATTTCTCCCATATGTATTTAAAAGCCCCCATTTTGGGAATGACCAAATTGATGTGCTTCTGGCCCTCTTTGTAATCCCCAGTTATCACCCAGTAGGCATCTCCGTAGTTTATCTTCCCACATAGCTAAATGGGAGAAAAAAAAAAAAATATATCAAAATGGCTAGCTCAACTGTGTGGTAGCTGGTTTACACAACTTCTGACCGCGTCAGGTAGAACGCCGCTAGGTGAGTGGAGTGTTTTCTTGCTCAGAGGTCTACCTTATGATTTAGCAGAAGGACTTTGCTGCCACTCCTGAGGATTTCCAACTTGATGTGGTCAGTTCCGAATTCGAAGCGGACGTCTTTGTGATCGGTTTCTTCAGTGCGGGAAAGAAGAAAAAAGAAAAAAAAAATTACACAAACGGGTGTTCATATGTGTATATATATATATGTGGTACCTATTTGCACACACAAACCATTTTGCGCCGGGCTACGTGGCTAAATTTTCAACATTCCGTGGGGGGCGAATGCGTTTCCACCGTCGCCCTTTTTTTTTTTTTTTTTTCTTCCTCTTCTTCTTCTTTCCCCCCCGCTTACCTTCAAAAATGGGGATATTTAACTCAAGGTAATCTAGCGATTCTCTCCAGTGGAGCCTGCGGGGTGGTATGGCAGTGGCGGTGATGGTGGTGTCCGCGAGAGCTCTTTGTTCTTGTCTCCCTCTTCGCATCATGCACAACACGCCAACCTACAGATGCTCTGGCAGAAAGAGCGTAAAATACGTGTTCCTTACTGGGCATCGTTCAGCAGCCTACACTGCTCATATGGCATGTGCAGCAGTCCCTTGTACTGAGGGTCGTTTAAAAAAAGGAAAAAAAAAAAAAAATGAATAAGGCACATTACACGTATCTATTTTTGCATGCCCCCCAACCCATTCACGCACCTTCAGCAAAGTCTTCGCGGTGTCCTTAAATGGCGTCTCTGGAGTCTCCGCATCTTTCATGGAGCTAATTTTATCCAAAACATTTTTCATGCTTAATTTTTCCTCAGGATAATTCTCATCGTCAATGTCATCAAAAGTTTTTTCAATTTTTTTCATCATGTTATATTGTCTCTTCACCTCTTGGCTATCCTGTTCATTTAGATCTGTGTTGTAAAATGCCTTTCTGACGGAGTTCTTAAGATTGGTGTCTGTCTTGTTAATTACGCCTTCGACATCGTGCATGTCGATTTGCTCTTCTGCTTTTTTCATCCTTTGTGTTTCCTTTTCTTCTTCCTCTGCGTTCCTGCGCTGTGGGGGAGTACCATTTGTATGGGGCGGTGGTGGCGAACATGCGCTGTGCGTCATTTGCATATGTTTGATGGAACCGATCGCGCGTGAACTGAGGCTCTGACCCCCCTATGCGTGAGGGCTACACCTGCGTAACGATTTGGGAGACGCGCAAAACGGGGAGCTGGCGAAGCAGCAGATTTACCTCCACCTCCCTGTATAGGTTCAGGGACTCATCCCCGTATTCCCCCTCCTCTAAGTCTTTCACCAGGTTCTACAGAAAAGAAAAAAATCCCAATGAGGCGTTAAGGAGGTTAAAGTGGAGGAGAAATAAATGCTCCACCTCGAATCGCTGCGACTTGTTTCGAACAAATAGAAACATCCGCAGGGACCCTTTTGGCTAAGACGCAGTGGGGAAAAGAAAAAAAAAAAAAATATGTCCAAAAATTCTCATAAGAATAGTGCCTATATTTCCACTTTTCCATTTTTACCTCCAGTTCAATTCCAAATTCATCGTCCTCTTCTTCCTTCCCTGCCGTGGTACATCTGATCTTGTTCTGTGTGGCCCCAGTGGGGGGCTTTCTTTTTCGAATGGGGGCATATAAAAAAGGGTCACATAACTGCCTATCTAGATACAACACCGAGTTTATTATTTTCCTGTTAGGTGTCCCTTTGTGTGTGTGGAGAGAGTATACACAGTGGGCTGCCTTCCACTGAAGCGTGAACAGGGCGCTCAGAAGCATTTTTATTTTTTTGAATAATTGCGGCATAATTTTCTCTGCCTCTAAAAGAGGCAGCAAGGCCATCACAAGCATGTGGGGGTAAGGGATACAGACCGAGCTGTAAATTATGCCGGAGTTTACAAGTTACTTTCCCATCTCAGCAAAAATAGGGGAAAGGGAAAAAAAGCACATGCTGGGTCAACCCCCCAGCGAAAGGATTTTACGCAGGATTTTTAAACAAAACGTTACGTGGAGCTGTCTCGTTCGCGTGTCACACTTTTCCGGGCGAGACAACCGAGATGTGTGTGTATGGGTGCGTTGTTACAGTATAGTGATGGTGGTGATTATGGGTATACTCGAACCCTGTTCCTCTTTGTTTTGTGTCATTCCTTCTGTGCTCCCCTTCCCACGGTGCCGAGGTGACCTTCTCCCGTTTTGGCATTTCTGACGTTATTTAGGTCTGAACTATTCGCTGCTGTGCAATGTTCCCTCAACCGGTGGAAGAGAGCAGCGGCCGGGAAATGGGGTTCATCCACTTGGGTCATTCGAAGGGGGGGAAGTAAACTAGCTGAGCAGGGGATAACATAAAAAACAACAGTTATACACCTTTATTTCCTTCTCCCTTTTTTCATACATCCCCTGTGCAATTTTCATTATGCCTTCCTATACGGAGTGATTTTACCTTTGTTGGTGGGCTAGGTAAAACCGGGTCGCATCTCCAGGTGGGGATTCGGCTGCAGGGAATAGTACACCCACGAGGTGAGGAGCAGAGGAGGGAAGAAGATTAACCCTTTGGCAGATCTCCATACATATTTGGCGTCGCGGATGCAGCCCCGAGAATTCTCGCGCAGATGTGGGGGTGGAAGCAATTATATTTACCGTGGGTGACACTTTCCTAGTGTTGCAAAAAAAAAAGCAACTACACGTTTAGGGCCCTATTGTGTGTCCCCATTTCTGGCTTGTCGCAATTGCGTGTCGAAGCTTTGCCGAAGCTACAACTGATTCGTTCCGCGTTACGAGCAGGTGAGTTTGTCCCAATGTACATATGCAATTGGGAAGGAATGATGTTGCATTAGAGCAGCCGTAACTTGCATTAGCGCAGGTGTGACTTGCACTACCGCCCCCTCCATCTGCCCACCCAAATGGAGCCGCTGCACATCCCCCTGGGAGACGACATGCACTGCCACCTGCGGCAGGGCGACATGCTGAACTTCACCGTTGGGGCAGTCAAGAAGGGAGGATGCAACCGCGTTCTCGTCATGCCCAACACCACGCCAATCGTAAGCACCTGTGAAGAAGCCAAAAAATATAGAAGCGATCTAATGAAGCGGGACCCATGTGTGGACTACCTAATGACATTATACCTGAACAGAAAAACAGATTCAAATGACATCCTCAGAAATCATGAAGAGTGCAATCTTCAAGGAGTTAAAATATATCCTAGCAATGTGACGACAAACTCGAATCATGGAGTTACAACATTAGAAGCATATTATGAAATTTTCCATACACTTGAAAGGCTAAACAAAAGTCTGCACATCCATTGTGAAGAGCCTAATGTGAATCCACTTTATTCAGAAAGGAGTTACGTGCAGCATATTCATGACTTGGCTGTCTACTTCCCCCATTTGAAAATTGTCCTAGAGCACATTTCTACGGTTGATATGACAAACCTGGTTAGGACGTATCCGAATATCGCGGGTTCAGTTACTCCGCACCACTTGCAACTGACGATAGACGATGTTGTGGACACGGAGATGTACGATTATGCTGCTGACGTGGTGAACATAGAGAAGTATATAAAAAATGTATATAACTATTGCAAGCCTTTGCCCAAAACGATTGATGATAAGGTAGCTTTGTGTAGAATTATACAGGAAGGTTTCCCGAGGATTTTCCTTGGATCCGATTCGGCACCGCATTATAAAGAGCACAAAAATAACCCCCACTATAAGCCAGGTATATACACACAGCCATTCCTCATGTCGTATGTTTGCCACATTTTTAACAAAATGAATTCATTGGACAAGGTAGAAAATTTTGCCTGTAAGAATGCTGCAAATTTTTTAAATTTAAAGGAGAAAAAAAGAGGCACAAATGAGGAGTCTCTTTCTCTTTGTATACAAAAGAAAGGATTCAAAATTGATGATGAATATTTTGGGGTCGTCCCTTTCTTGGCTGGACAAACAATTGATTTCACAGCGTCCCTTGTGGGTGCAGATGTGTGACCTGGCTTTTTGGCTTAAGGAGACACTTTTCCGGGGGGGGAGTCAATCGGTCAGTCGGTCAGGCCACTCTGTACACATAACCCCTCCCCCCGCGGCCTCCCATCAGATCAATTTCCTTATGCCATTTATTCGGAATGAACGCGGGGTATTAATTTTCTCCTTTTGCCTGAATAGGGGAGTTGCTCCTAAGCTCTGGGTGGATCTTCCAAATGCTCACATGCAATGTGTTCTCCTGTGCGAATGCTTTCTTTATCTGCAATTAGCAAAACTGAGGACGCAGCCGCAGAAGCGGACGCTTCAAAATGAAGACAAATTTTGGATATTTTGGGAAATTAAATTGCTTTGCCTTTTTGGCATCATCTCACTTCATCACTATCCGTATGACTTCATTTTGTTTCTCAGCAGGATTTACTTCGTCTCCTTTGGAGGTTCCTTTTGGCAGTGGCTGGGGGGCTCCATCAAGGACAAACACTTTTTCCCCATCATCCATCGTCTGACCACTCGAGTTGTTACCTTTCCCCGCTTCGTTTACTGCACCTTCGTTGCGTTCTTCCCCTCCATTTCCCCCCATGGAAGCGTCGACGGAGACGGAGCTTTTCTTCCCCTCTAGCTGCAACGCAAAGGAGGGTGAATCCTTTTGTATGTACACGTAAGTCTTGGGCCGAGTGCCGTCTCCCCCATTTATGTTTAAGTCTACGTACGTGGAGCTCTCATCTTTTGAAAGGAAAGTGGCTACAATAACTAACAAGAGCGAAACGGTCACTGTTATTATGCTCAACATGAGTGAAATGTGCACAATTAAAGTTTTATATTTTTCCAGGGCGATATCATCCGTGGGGGAACTTATGAAAGAAAATTGTATCGCCATTTTTTCTGTGCATTTTGAAAGGTCATCGTTTCGAGGAAGTTTACAAAGTTACGTGCGAACATATGAGCTGTAGGTGGTGTCTCACGATAGGTGTGTCAGCAATGTGACTCCTTCGTTTGGCGTAAAGGTGGACACCTCTGCCTACATTAGAACAAAACGCAATTCACAGTTTAGTGCTAACCACTTCCAGCTGATGGAGCGGATGATGTGATGAAAAAAACAAGTAGGACATCGGAGCTTAGGGAAAGGGACCAATCACCGTAATATGATACGGAGGGTGTTTGGCATCAGTTCGTCCCTACCACCATTTGGTGCCTTTACCACGGTTGTGCATGTTCGTATTTTTTTTTTTTATGACAGGGTCAGGTAATTATAGGCAAAAATTGTCTAAAAAAAAAAAAAAACTAAATAGCTAGTTATCTAGCTAGCTAGCTGCTTGGCTGTGTTCACATATGAAAAGAGTTACATACACACGTCTGTGCCAGACGGGTAAGCTGAAAGGGGCCCCTACGTGGGGCACAAACGGTTGCAGCAGTTGTCGCAGTTGTCGCAGTGGTGCCGCTGTGTAATGCAAAGCAACCCTGCAATGTTGAAATGCGTTTTACGCCTTTTCCATTAGGGTGTGCATTATGACAACAGCGAATGCTCTTATCCTTCAAAGTATTCTTTTTCTCCGCATTGCGCCATGTTTAAACCCCTTTGCGGCCTTTCACCTGTAATACGCGTTTCGCTCAACTTGTTCGACAAAATTTCGCAATAAAAAAGGAAGCTTTCCTAAGGAAATGCACAATTACAAAGTCGCTCTCCCATCCCAATAATTGGTAACAATTAACCTCTTCACACTTTTAAAATTGCAAACGTAAAACAATTGTAATGTTATTAAAATTACAAGATTAGAGATGAAGAAAAAAAAAATAGCGGAGAATACACGTCTTACGAAAGCGTCTATGTAGAACTTCCATTTTCTGAACAAATCATTTTGAAAATGAATGAAATGTGAAAAAAAGGGGGTGGGACATAAGTACCTGTCGCCCGCGCACTATTGGGGCGTAATTGGTGACTTATAAAAAGGACGGGGTGGCACACATATACGTTCAAGACATGTGTACAAACACACACGTACAAACATAGCCGTACACCTGCATCTGCACCTGGGCACATAGACACGATACCCCTGCGCACAATACAAATGGGGAAACAAAAAAAGGGAGCACCACCATCACCTTCATACCGCCTGACACACGTTAATACCGTTTACACAATGCTGCATTGATCAACCGAAGTAAATCGGTGGGGCCTCCTTTTTCCAGTTCATCTCCGAATCCTCCGGCATGGACTCTGCACAATTATGTTCCATGATGTTCAATTCTCGGAATATTTCACTTAGGCGAAATACATTTTGTTGGAGCTGTACTCGGTGTTTTTCATTCCCGACGATGGAGGATAAATTATTCAAGCTGTCAATGACACTATTTAGCTTACTGTTAATACGAGATAACGTCGCGGGTGTGTTTAAAATTTTGACCTCTTTATTTAGCACAAGGGTGTTGGCGGTTGGCTTATACCTATTTCGCTCCAGGTGATCACCCGCTATGCTGTTGTTGCCGCTGGTTCTTGCCAAGTTTGCGGCCCCTTCTCGAGCCAAATTTGCTACTCCCTCTCGTGCCAAATTTGGTACTCCCTCTTTGGCCGCGTTCCTAATCTGAAACGAACCAAGACAACCGCCCACATTCGAACCCCCGGCCACGCCAACACTGTTGGACACTGGTAAGTCATCCCTTTTTGCACACTTCTCCTTCTTCTCGCTTCTGGCCTTAATTTTAAAAGATAAATCGATTAATATCCTTATGTTTTCAACGGGCGGGTATTTAAAAAGTCTCTTCAGGCAATAATTCTCGTCGTTTTCTAGCAAGAACGATCTGATGAATAGGATCATGGAGATGGCAAAGCTGTCCACCAAGGGGAACAGATTTGATGTCATGTGGGCAACTTCTATGATGTCCCCTGAGACTTGGGCGGGGAAGCCGTTTTCCCAGTTTGTTAAGTAGCAATCTGGAAGAAAGGATGGAGGTGTGTTAAAGCGGCGGGGTGTACATAGGTGGCGGCGCGATGGTTACCAATGTGGCAGCGCGTGGGTCACATATCTGCCAAGGCAGCGATCACATATGTCGCAGCGCGCTTGTCAAAAAAACGAACCTGAGAAGAAGTTGTCCCACAAAATGACGGTGTCATCAATCGGAAACTCTCTACAATAGAAGAGACGGATCCACCTGAGAAGAAAAATCTGAGGCTCGATACTCAGAGAGATCAAATGATTGTACAACAATTTATCCAAATTTTTTAGTAACTTATGGAATATATAAGTACACTTGTGCAGGAGCACCGTTTTGGAAGAATTCTTTGTTGCTTGATTTCTTTTCTCTTCGGGGGAAGAGAATAAATATTTCAACCCCATGTTCATGAAGTGGTCAAACAGTATGTACGTGTCTGCCTCCACTTCGTCCCTATCAAACAGGATGAAATACTCTTTCCAAAATTGATCACTTTTTAAATTTTGAATATCGCGACATACTTGTTCACGATAATTGACTATAAAAAAAATGGCTACTAATTCGTTCATGCCTTGTTTATACGACACCGATGGATTTTTTTTTGCCCATAGGAAGAGAATTTTACATAATGTGTCTCTTACTTCCTCATTTTGAAAAAGCTTCCTTTCTGAGTGTGTTCTTAAAATGTCTTGTTTTATTTCTTCATTTAATTCTTGATTCTTCTGTTTTAGTGTCCAAGGATTTTTATCATCCGATGAAAGCGGGTGAAAGATCTGGGGGTCCAATTTTTGAATATTTAAGTTGGACTGCTTTGTGATGTATTCGTCTTTATCCTGCTTATACGAACTTCTTTTTTTCTGTACGTCCTTTACTAGCTCGTCTAGAGTGGCGGGATGGTAAATTCCTATTAGCAGGGGCCAATAAACTCTTCTAAAGAGGACCGTATTAGGTTCGTTGTTTATAATGTCATTGGCTATGGACCGCATGAAATTGTGCCTTTCCTCCTGCGGCTTCTTCGTCTTCTCTTCCGAGGGATCTGCCAAATCAACTGTCGCCGCGCTTTCCTCCTCATCGTCATTACCCGTTGGTATTTTGTCCCCACTTTTAAGAAAAATAAAATGATTTAAAAAGTCCTCAAATTTGATGTCATGTAAATCTTCCAGAAAGTTATGGTTATGCATCTTTTGTTTTAAATGGGCTTCTAACTTGCGTTGCTCATTTTTGTTTGGGGCACTGCCTTTCGCAAACGCGGCAAGTAGTTCCTGTGTGAGTTACGTGTATGTATAGGTTGAGGGGGGTTGTCATTGTTTGGATTTATCCTGCCAGACGCTGCGAAGTCGAACGGGAAGGCCGCAAACCGCCTAACCGCTAAACCGCCAAACTGCGAAGCTGCCTAACCGCTAAATCGCTTTACTTTTACCTCTTGCGCGCTGCGATAAGGCGGTGAAAAATAATCAAGTGAAAACAGCGCTTGCCCCTACGCAGGAGAGGCACAAAGTGGTGAGGTTATACTGACGGCCAAAAAATCCCATCGTACGGTTAGCTTAATTCTTTGTTACATGCGCCAAGTTTAAGGGGGAAAAAAATCTGCCCTTTATGTATACATGCGCGAAGTAGTGGCTGATTTTTTGTTTTTTTTTTTTCTTAATTTGATCTTTTGCAAAATGGATTTTCAATTTATTTTTTCCCTCCCCCCCGTGTGCATAAGCGCATGTGGAGGTGTACATAAACGTATTCACAATGGATAAGTGCAAATGTGCGCTGCGGCTTAGGCCTAAATGAATGCTAGGATGGAACTGTCTAACTCGTTTTTTTTTTTTTTTTTTTTTTTCTTTTATGAATACGTCACCCGTGAGTGTTCCTCTTTCCCGTTGTGTCATCAGTAAGCTGTTTTGCTTTTCTGTTTTTTTTTTTCTTAACGAAAAAATGGCGGAGCGTAAGATATGTGCAGTTCAAAATGCTCGATCAACAACTGACCAGGAGGGGAAAAGAACGTTTATTATAGGTACCATGTGAGGAGAACATTTAGAAATGTTAACACTAAACCGAAGCTTCTATTAAGGGTTACTATTGGCATAATTTGGAAAACTGTTCCTATGTAAGTGTATCCACTTGTGTGTATATCTGCATAACCCATTGTGCTTTCATTCCGCTGTATCGTTTTCACGCGGGTTAAGCAGAGGGTAAAGGGGGAGCTTTCTCCTTTATTGTCCCACTCGTCGAGAGTTTCTCCTTTCTGTGCAGCCGTTCTGTTCTACATTGTCACGGTATCGTTGTCAACGAAGCCAATTCGATTTCTGTAGCTTTGCCATATGAGAAAAAAGACGCCTGAATGAATCAGGTAGATTTTGCGAAAACTTCCTGAATTGTTCAGAAAAAAAAGTAAAAGCGGGCAGGGAAGGGGCACATATAAGGGGTGAAGAAATGGTGTAGAAAGGATGCAAAACGGTTGCAGAAAGACGGAGAAGAATGTACAAAACTTGTGCACATATTGGTGTGTTTTCCGATAGAGTCACGCCAACACGCCTATGTGCGCCGAGAAATGCTGCCCAGGTGGGAGAACAAGATGTAATACCTACCTTTTCTAACCACTTCCCCTCCCCCCACAACATGTGCTACCCATGAACGTCACCTTGAGGGCCACGTTTGAAGGAAAGACCATTTAAAGCATCTCATTCGTGAGAATGACCTTTTCGCACTTGTTGAGGCTTTATGCCAATCTTTACCAAAAATGTGTTTTGCGCTCTTTTAATTTTGCCAAGTTGTAAATCGAAGATTTTTATATTACATGACGATGGGTAATATTATGAACAAGCAGACGTTTTTTTTTTTTTTTTTAAATTTAACATACTTCGTTATGAGTGCTGATTTTTCAGCCCAATTTTTTTTTCCTTTTTAACCGCATTTTTGGCGAGTTCTTCAAGAAAGAAAAAGAGAAAAACAAAATGAACATTAAGGAGGACGCAATAAATGAACAGACTGCCAAATTTGAAAGAGAATGACCAACCGGAATGATCAGATGATTATTTCCAAACTGAGCTGTAGCAGAAAAGTTACACAAGGAAGACATACACACATACACCCTTTTGGATGAATCAAATTAGCATTCAGGCCAAAAATTGGTTATATGTAAAATATATCCGCGCTTTAATTGGGGGTAGGAAGTGGCCTTTCTGTTATATTAGCAGTCTATTGGTTTTAAGACTTTGGAACTTTACCATTCTGTTACTTCTCTTTCGGGAGCGCAAAGAAACGGAGAGCCCGCGAATTGATTGTTCTCCCGCGGGCGAATGCGCATGTGAACACGCGCGATTACAAATTAAAGTAAAATAAGAGGTGTAGAGTTTCCCCGCTTCTCAGCATAGTCGGTAGTGCCTACGGCGCTGCAAGGAAAAGGGAAAACTCAAAACGATAGCGCGCACGAATAGGCGTGAGAACGAAGGGGTACACGGCTTATCGAAGCGGTTGAACATGCGCAAGGACATTTCCGCGGCAACGCGCAGCGAGCCACACGTTATAACTAAAACTGTAGCGCAAGGGGCACAGAAAGAGAGTATTGACGTGAGGAGGTATACACATTTTTACATATACACGCACGCTTGCGGAAATTCTTAAACGCGGGAGGGCTTTGCGCTTGAACTGGAGAGCGAATAGAAAAAATTGTGAACGCTTCCTAGTCGCTAGAGCGCGCATATTTGGGAGTTTTTTTTTTTTTTTTTTTTTTCCTTCCAACCGAGGAGAAAAGCAGGTCATGTTGACCATCCCGATGCGCACTCCACGCACGTGCGTTTTACAAATATAAGGGCACATGGTCACGGTTAAAAAGTGCGTTTGAATGTATATGCTACACCGATGCATGTATTTTGTGTCGATGGTCCAATGCCAATTTATGCATTGCGTATGGGATAATTACGACGCATGTGCCTTCTTCGCAATTTTTTCCGTTCGCATCCGCTGTTATACCACCCGGTCCGAATGACTTTTTAACCCCATTTCCGATTAGCTCTCCACCTTGTTTCACGTCATTCTTTTTTTAAGAGCAAAGTTTGGAGAGATAGCAAAGGGTCCATTGATACACGGCATCCCCTCAACGCTAAAATGAAGAACGATACAAAATTGGACCTTTATGAAATCTTGGGGGTGGAGAAAAATGCTAGTGTGAAGGAAATTGCCAAGGCGTACAGAATACTCGTGCTGACATATCACCCGGATAAGTTTGCCGCGAGGAAGGGAAAGCTGCCGGAGAAGGGCCAGACAGCCGCGGAAGGCAAGGAGAATGGGAAGCTGGACGTACTTGAGAAGGAAACAGTGGACGAGGAGGCAAACGAGGAGGAAGATGAAAATGTGGAGGGTGTAAAGGGTGTAAAGGGGGATGAGGATGACCCAACACAGAAGAGCAAAAACGACGCAGACGAACCACTCACCCTGGAGAAGTGCAAGGAGATGTTTCTTCAAATCCAGAAGGCATACGAAATATTGAGAGACCCCGAGAAGAGGAAAAATTATGACGAATTCGGACTGGAGGATGACGATTGTAGCGATTTTAAAAATTATTTAAACCCCAAATTATTTCATAAAAGAATTAAAGTAGAGGACATACTGAACTATGAAAAGAACTACAAGAATAGTTCAGATGAGAAGGAAGACTTAATCGAATTTTACAACAAATTTAATGGAGACCTGACTCACATTTTGGAGTACATTCCATTCAGTGAAGAAGCAGACCTGACCAGATATCTAGACCTCTACAGTAGTTTCTTCAAATCCAAGGAGATTAAAAAAACGCCTGACTATGACAGGTCAGTAAAAAATATCAACAACATTATTAAGAAGTATGCCAGCTTGAAGAAAAAGGATTCACGAATGAGTAAAAAAAGGAAAATGTCTGCGCCCCCCCTTGACGATCTGGTTTTGGCGATTCGAAATAATGAAGCAAAGAGGGCGTTAAAAATTAATAACCTCCTTTCCAACATTGAGAAGGAATACCATAAAAAGAACCCCAAGAAAAGAAAGGTAAAGCCGCCCACGGAGGAAGAGTTAAACGAAATTAGCAAGCGGCTCGAGGAGAATAAGAAGAAAGCCGCGTCGAAGAAGTTGAAGAGTCCGTGATGTGTCTGTTTTAATTTTTTTGTCAACCTGCCGTGTGGGAGAAGTCTTGTTCCCAGAGGTACCTTCGTGATTACGTGTCTCTGTTCGTCACTCCTCCTTCCAGCCGGAGCCGCTCGAACAGCTGCACATATGTCCCTTTAAATTTATGTCTACTTTTGTACAATCCACGTTCATATTGTCATGTCTTTGTTTATTTCTGTCCACACCGCCATGCTCACCGTGTGTATCCGCCTTTTTCCCGTCCCTTTTTTTTTTTTTGTGAAATTCTCACATTTACTTATGATAATTAAATGAAGAACGAGCCGTTGTTAATCGGAAAAAGGACAGCGCGCACATTCGGTTTTGGCCAAAGGGGGGAAGGATGAAATATGGGGGAAAGACACACGAGAGTGGGTTTAAAAAAAAAAAACGATCCCCCCCTTTGTAAAGGCCATTCTCGCGTTAAAGGATTTTCCCTTTTGTCGAATTTTGCAAAAGGTCCCTTTCCCAGGGGAACTTACCTGGTGCCGCTTCTTCACTCGTAGGAGGGGGGCGCGGTGACAGGGTGCTCCATTCGAACGCGCTAGCGCCGGGGAAAAAATCACCAAGCTTCAAACGGTCGAAGCTTCAACGATGCGAAGTTTTAACATTACGCAGCTTCAGTTGGGAAAAACACACAAATCACTGTAACGCCACGCGGTGATCGCGGGAAGTCCTCATTTGGGGGCTCCCCTCCCGTGCGGCGCGTTCCCAATATGCTGCGCAACGTTTTGTCTTTTTTTTTTTTTTTTTTTGCTACCCCCACGGAGGCAAACAAACAGAAACGCACAAACGTGAGGGAAGCTGAACTCACGTGCCGTGATGGAGAAAGAAAAAAAAAAAAAATCCGAAAAAATAGCGATACGTTGCAGCGCTCCGTTCGTTGGAGAGCCCTCCCCCTGCAGAAGGCGAATGTTCCTAATGTCCTCAGCAAATGGCGAATACTACGAGATCGCTTCATAGCCGATCCACGCCCGGTGGAATGTCAAAGCCCCCCGCCTTTCGCGTTGTCCCACCTGCTGCGTAGCCTCACCTGCCGCGTAACCTCGCCTGTCCACTTCCTAACCAAATGTGAAGAAAGAAAAAAAAAAAAAAAAAATGCACGAAGAGGATGGACACGCGGAAATGCTCAACCGTTACAGCAAGGAAGGAAAAAAAAAAGAGCTGGCACAAAAGTGAAAGAGGTAGAAACCCCCCCTACTGCGTCAACTACGACGTTTTGCTGAAAAATTGTAGAGAGGAACAATATATAGACCTGAATCTGGAGATTAATTACAATTTGGAGGAATTATTAGCATACAAGGATAACATAAAGAAATGTCTGCATGTGCATAGTAGGCCGAGCAAACATAATCTGCAGAAGAATAGGAGGAGTTACCATTACGACGATGGACATGGCACCATTTGCGCGTCGGGTGGCATTTCCCCCTTTTGTTATGACTCAGGGGGGGAGAAAAAAGGTGTACGTAATCAACCAGACAGAGTGGAAAAACAATTCTATCGAAATGGCGACTATACCGATGAGGGTTATACGTCCGACTCTTGCAGCAGCTATTGCTCTAATGTAACGGACAGTTCTGAAAAGTATGAAAAAACGAATGGCATGAATTTTTCCCAGCGCATTACCTATGACAGTACCATTTTGGAGGGGAAAGGAAATTTGTTTGACACTGTGTTAGCCCCAAAGGGAGTCAGCAAAAATAAGGAAGGGGGAAAAAATAATGCTTTTTGTGATGGATGGGCTGCCAAAACTGGGGACAACACAAATATAGACGACTCCTACGTGAGGACGCAGCTAAGTTATGAAGACATGGAGTGCAGGGGGGAGGGAGGTGGATCCCCTTTGTACGCGGTGAGTAACTATCGAAGCGTAGAAAAATGAAGCACTCATCTTCGCAGAAGATATGCTTCCTGGAACTTTCCCAAAAATGAGGAAAGGACAAAGATGATCCCTTAACTCCACCACTTCTTTCTTCTTCCCTTTTCTGCAGGGGGCAACCTCCAAAGGGGCCTTCCTCCCCAACCTGGATGGACATCCATTGACCAATTCAGCATTTCACAAAAAATATTCCAACCCAGCTAGCCAAAAAGTAGAAGAAGAAATCCTCAACAAATATGAAAAAATAATAAAGATTATGAAGTACTTAAGAAGAGTAAAAAATAAGTACCCTCAAATCGAAGCAACCGTTTCGATACTGTCCAGTCATATTAAAAATGTCACATTCAATTGCGAGAAAATGTTCCATTCGAGACAAGAGCTGAATGACTTTTTGAAAAAAATCTACATTTACCAGATTTACCTCCTTAAAAGTAAGCTTCTCTGTTTTATACGCCTTGGAAAGGGGGCAGTCCAGAAGAATAGGCAGCGCTGGAAGCGATAAAACAGGAAGGATGCAATCTGACGAGTAATGCTTCCGCGAGTTTGTGGCACATACGTACTAGTGCTCCACGTTAGGGTGAACTTGTTCTTCCCCAATTTGTTCCCCCACACACACATCGCCTTTTTCCTCAGAAGTCGTTTTTAAAAACCCGAGGGACAGAAGGAGTGGCGATTCCTTCAAGTGCAGCTTTGAAGCTACCTCTCCGGAGGAGGCACACCTGGATACGAAGGATCGCCCAAGCTTCAGGTGACGCAAAAAAGTAACAAAATAAATAAAAGAGCAATTCCTTCACCGAAAGGGCCCCATTAAACGAGGGGTCAACGTCAAGACGGAAAAATAAAGCAACTCCTTTTCTCTATCTCCCCCTCCAGAGACTATTCGGAACTCCCCGAAGGCAGCAACAGGGATGCCCATTTCATGATTCAGCACTTGAGAGAAAACAGGCCTGTAAAGTCTGCAAAGAGGGGGCCACACCAAAATGTGCGCGATGAAGGATGGGCTAATTTTACTACCGTGAGGAAGCAGGAAGGAAGGACACGTAACCCTTTACACAAGGACACACAATTTATCAGCGCTGCGAAGAAGGAAAACAAAATGGACATGACCTTTACTGAAGAAAGCGCAGAAAGTGACATGTACAAAAAGGGAAAGGGGAAAAATAGGGGTAAATATAAAAGTGGTGAATCCTTTACGGGACAGGAAAAAACAATACACGACGATGATCCGCTGAGGAGTGAAACAAACTCGACGCATTGTTTCAGCAATCTCTATGCAGATGAAGCAGATAAGACATCCGCCTATTACGATAACCTGAGGCATACATATAGAGAAGCCCTAAAAAATCATATGAACACAAGTAGGGGAAATTTCCAAAGCGGAAAAAGGAAAAAACAGAGTAGAATAAAGAAGGAACACATCCTACATGAAGATTTCTTGAACCATAAAAATGCCTATCGGAAGAGCGAAAATTTTACCATGTTGGACGATGCAGATGTGCTGCCTGAACAAGAAGCCCTAAGAGAAGAGACAAACGAATCACCATACGGTTGGGGGAATAAACGGGATGTCCCATTTAACACACATTTAGTAGAATACGAATCAAAAAGAGGAAACTCGGGGCAACTTTATAAATGTATCCCCCAAGACAGTGCAAACAATAGAGAATACCGGGGGAGAAGCATTTTAAGTGACGCCTTAAAGAAGGATTACTTAAACGTTGTAAATGTGCAGAAGTATGGGTCCAAAGATGGCCTCAAAGATGGGCCCCTATATGGGCCATCCCTAAACGCGCTTAATTTAGCAAGGAGGAAAACGCCCCCGCGGAGAAGCCTATCGAGAGGTGAAACAGGCAGAAAGGACGCTGCGGAAAAGGACAGGAATAACCAAAAAACGCTTGTACTCTTTTATGATATAAATAAAGAACTAAGTGCCATCTCGAACAGAGACTCCGTCATACACGCGCTGAAGCATGCGCTTCTAAACAGTAAGGAATGAATGGATGAAAGGAGGGGAGATAGTAAGCCGGTATCGCCGAGTGATGACCGCGTTCTAGGCCGCATAACGAGGCAAACAAATGGCAGATAAGACTCACCCTGCATACCCCCACACCTTCGCGTCTCCCCCGTTAGAGCCCCACAACTTCAGCGCCCTGCAAAACTTCCTATTCAAAATAAACGTCGAGCTGGTGGAATACAAAAACTTCATCCTTCTACTAACTCAGAACGTAAAGAAGCCACTCCTGGCAGCCCTCTATGGCTTGAACGATTTTTCGGTGTTTGAAAAGGTAAGCAAGCTAGAAATACGCAACATACCCCCATACCAGCATAGAAGCCTAGCAGCATAGAAAAGATTTTGTTTTTTTTAAACCATTTATCCGTCACTGCCAAACGTGTGTGCATATGATGCCGCAGGTGTACGGGAAGAAGGTGGCGCCCCGATTTTTGGTCTCCAAAAAGGTTAAAACTTTTTACAAGTATGATACATCCTACCGAAGATTTAAGGAACTCACTAATGTGCGCGATTTCAGCGGGATTACTGATGCAGTGGAGTTAATTTAGGTGTAACGGAGCGGCAAAGAGTGACGTTCCTTGAGTGAATTACGAAGCAGGTAAATGGCTACGCAATTGAGCAGGCACTGTTTCTTTTGTGAAGGAGACCCTTCGTGTGGGGTTGCACCAAGCGAACACTCCAGATGGCTTCTTAAATACAGGAGTGGCAAAGGAAGCGGTGTAGGCGGTGTAGTCGATGTAGGCGCAATAAAGGGGATAAAATAACCCAATGAATAGGCAAATAGGTGAATATAGGCACAGACGCGCGGGCGTGTCCCAACCATGTGTGACCAATTCCCAGAACAGGGATCTTCCCCCCTGGCCGCTATGGTAAAATCTCCACCGAAAAACCTTATAAATGGGGAGGAAGTGGACACATAAGCAGGGATGTGCCTATACATGTGAGTATATATGCCCTCGCAACAACACCCCTTTTGTGGCAGTTCCACGGGGTACGCGCTTCAACCCGTAGGGAAATCCACCTAGTGCGCATTTTCCTCAAACGAAGAAGAGGAAAAGTAGGATCTATCTTCGCTTCTTCATGTTTCACCGTACCCCCCTTTCGTTTTACCGTCCAGAAACGAAACAACAATTGTCAATTTCTTTTTAAAGACGATTTTTAATTTTTACGTTAGTTTTTGCTCTACCTGATTTGTGTTTGCGGATTTTT